TTTTTCAAAATGTCTCAAATTTGTCCAAACAGAAGAACTCAGTGTTTTCTGTAACATTTACTGTCTGCATCCAACTATGGCAAATAAATCAAATGTCACATGGCATGACATAGTTGCTGTTTTCGACAAAATGTTTTTAGCTGATTTTTAGAAAACTGAATCTAGTCATTTTCTGTAGACCGTTTACCATATTCCATACGTGTGTTGTTGGAGTCTGCCGTGAGAAATTGTGATAATTTCCATGTGAAAGAACAAGATGTGGAAAATATACTGAACTGGAAAGAGAATCAAAGCAATGATGTGGAGATTCCATTCAAACCAGCCCGGGTTATATTACAGGATTTTACGTGAGTACCGCCGTTGAGTCAATGAAAGTAAATTACTGTGTGACCTTAATGTAAAAGAACCAATAAAAGTGGCAGGATGTGTGACCTTTATGTAAGGAACCAATAAGAGTACCGGGATGTGTGACCTTTATGTAAGGAACCAATAAGAGTACCGGGATGTGTGACCTTTATGTAAGGAACCAATAAGAGTACCGGGATGTGTGACCTTTATGTAAGGAACCAATAAGAGTACCGGGATGTGTGACCTTTATGTAAACTGTAATCAATCACTTTGTACAGTTTGTAAAGTTTTTTTTTAATCCTTAATCCTTAATCCTTAACCCTTTATGCAGCAATTTTCTGTTCAAATTAGGGTACCTTTTCACATTTTCTGTAATTTTCACTAAACTTAATTTTAATTTTGGATCTTCTACTAATATTACTACCATTTTTTGAGTGAAAACTTTGAAATTTTCACTTATGTGGAAAGGAGTTGACTATAAATTGAATTATTTTGTAGATTGTGTTAACCTAAGCACTCAAAGGGTCGGAGGGGTATTAGCTGTGTTTTGACGCTCAAAGGGTTGGAGGGGCATGAGCTGTGTTTTAGTGCTCTCTAAGGGTTGGAGAGGTATTAGCTGTGTTTTGGTGCTCTCAAATGGTTGGAGAGGCATTAGCTGTGTTTTGACGCTCAAAGGGTTGGAGGGGTACTAGCTGTGTTTTGGTGCTCAAATGGTTGGAGGGGTATTAGCTGTGTTTTGGCATTCAAAGGGTTGGAGGGGCATAGTTACGTTTTGGTGCTCAAAGGAATGGAGAGGTATTAGCTGTGTTTTGACGCTCAAAGGGTTGGAGGGGTACTAGCTGTGTTTTGGTGCTCAAATGGTTGGAGGGGCATAGTTGCGTTTTGGTGCTCAAAGGAATGGAGAGGTATTAGCCGTGTTTTGGCGCTCAAAAGGTTGAAGGGGCATTAGCTGTGTTTTGACGCTCAAAGGGTTGGAGGGGTACTAGCTGTGTTTTGGTGCTCAAAGGGTTGGAGGGGTATTAGCTGTGTTTTGGCATTCAAAGGGTTGGAGGGGCATAGTTGCGTTTTGGTGCTCAAAGGAATGGAGAGGTAT